TGTCCCAGAGCGCTGTTTCCTTCCACTAATGTGTTGCAGAAATCCAGTATAAAGCGCACACAACATAAACATTATAATTTAGAATGTGAGTGTCACATTGCTAAGTTCCTACGTTGGAATACACATCATCACATTGTGAGCATGAACTTTAACGTGGTTCCAGACCCTCACCACACACTCCTTACAACAGGGGTCTCAAACTCTGGTCCTCGAGAGCCTTTATCCTGCATGCTTTAGTTAGATGTTTCCCTCTTCCAACACCTGATTCAAATGATCAGGATCGTTATCAGGCTTCTGCAGAGATTGATGATGACCTGGAAGAGGGAAACATCTACAGCATGCAGGATAGGGGCCCTCGAGGACCGGAGTTTGAGACCCCTGCCCTACACTCTCCCACACACACATGGAACCACAAAAACCCGTGCCACCATGTTATCGCGGACAATATTGTGTCACAAGCCCTATCACAGCTCCACTGGCTACTGTGGTGTAATGTTGTTCGACTTTGAACTTTGATTGTACCATTGCTGTATGTGTGTGTGTATGTTTACTTTGATGTCTTTCTACAAGTTGATTGGTTATGTCTGATTTTATATATATATATATATATACACACACATACACTTGTCCTCAAAATGATTCATACCCTTCTTAATTTTTTGAGATTTTTTTCATTTTTTTGATGACACTAATCCATTTTTGTCAAGTTTGTTTATGAATTATGTGACCAACAAGTGAAGACTGCTTTGAAATAGCTTTGTAACCCTTTCATTCACTGTGGGCACAAGACGCTGATGCAGGTCCTCACTAAGCTCCTTCTTCTTTGTCATTGTTTAACATTTGGTCAACAAAAAATGTATTTATTCCATTGTGATATCATGAAATAACTTTAGGACACATTTGGGACAGTTTTGTTGAGATATTATCAGGGATATGAATAATTCTGAACATTGCATTTTTTGGTTATCAATAAAATACCCATGAAATTAAGAGATTCTTGAATTGTGTATTGTGTCATCCTTTCACTTGTTGGTCACATATAATTCATAAACAAACTTGACAAAAATGCATTAGTTTCATCACAAAAATAAAAAATCACAAAAATTATCAAGGGTATGAATAATTTTGAGGACAAGTGTATATATATGACATACATACATGAAAGTAAATAAGACTCGAACATTGTCTTCTGCTTTGGACTGATGACACTGATTATTGTGCTGTAAGATTGCCTAAAAAATGTCATACCATCATTCCCTAGAGATGATTGCTGGCATAGAGACACGGCTGTTTGAGGGAGAGGATGGCAAGGGAAAAATGCCTAAATACTCTATAAATGACCTTGACAATGGCCTGTTCCGGTGCGTTTCTACATAACACAAATTTTACTGCAGTCGTACAATAAATAATAAAGATGCACTGTAAATTTTATATTCCTTTTATTTTCTGTCATTTCAGAGTTGCAGGGGAAATATTTGCAGTAAGCCTTGCACAGGGTGGCCCAGCACCAAGATGTTTACGGACCCCATCCAGGAAGAAGGAGAATGCAGTGGAAGCTGTGTTGTTTGCAGCAACATCAAGATACAGGATCTATGTAAAAAAGGACGTAGGAGTCATACTGTGACATATTTGTTCTTAGCTTCCTGTCTGTACTCAACTTTGACTTACCCTTCTTGAGAAACCATCAATCCCACCAAATATCACAATGTTAAATCTGAGAAGAAAATACATAGATGATCAAAACAAGA